AAAATACGGTCCCAAAATACCAGCATGTCTACATTAGTCATCAAAAGTTTAACAAAAATATGACTTAATGAGTTATCTCCAATTGTGGCATCTCCCGTCCTTAACCACGCGGGACGGGGGTGTTACAGGTACACATAATTCTTACACCAAAAACTTAAATCTTTAAACATCAGGTTTTTAAGAAATTAGAATCCTAACACCAAAAGTTGTCATAAATCTTTAAATACCAAAGTTTTAATAAAAACTATAATCTTGGCTTGTTTTAACAAATTATAATTCAAACACCAAAGGTTAAGTTGTTGTTGTAAATTCTTAAACACCAAGAGTCTTTAATAAATTATAATCCTGACACCGAAAGTTATCGTAAATCTTCAGGCATAAAATTCTAACATTTTCAAAAAATTATAATCCTAACACCAAGAGCTTTTAAGAAAACTAAAATCCCACCACCAAATTGAAGAAAGTACAATGCATACCATCATCAACTAATTTATCCATAAGGGACTACCGGAAGGAGGGGAGATCGACGGGAAGTGGGGTCATCACGTGGCGGTGTTGGGTATTGTTGTGTTGAGCTAAGAGAAGTGTTTACTAAAAAGAAGAGGAAATAGTGGCCGGAGAGAAGAAGAGAACACCAGACGAGAGGGGAAAGCACCATAATAGGGTCGACAGGAGGGAAATCGATCGCCAGAGGGAAGTTGAGAGGAAATCGATGGAGGGGAAGAAAGGTGATATTGCCTGAAGAGCGTCTTTATTGCTGGAAATCGCAGGGGTGATGAGACATACGATTGTTGGTGAAGAAAAGAGGTAGAGTTCGTCATCTGTCCCCATATTTTAAATTACCAACACATGGATCCGTCAATAATTTAAATGAAATTTTTTGTTTTTATAATATTATTAGTTTAGTTTTCGATACATATATTTTAATTATGTTAGACAGGTTCTAAAAATGCATGTGTAACGAATATATGATCCATCTATTTTAACTGCTAATCAAATCCAATCAATCCGTTTGTATGTTAGAGCGATGTATACACTATGTATGTATTATACATGTGTGTATTGAATATATGTATCTATGTATATGACTAGATGTATATATCTATGTATGTATATATACTACAAATCAGGGGAGGTCAATCCACCGGTTAATATTGAATTAAAATATTTAATTATGTAATTAAATAAATAAAAAAATATTCGAGATAAGTGGACTGTTGAGTGGTATGTTTCCATTGATTTCAGTTGTTGATCACAATCGGGCTTAATTCCTTGATGAAAAATAACGTGTTTTGACATGTTATTTGACTTTTATAGAAATCATGCATTATTTTTTAGAGGAAACTCGTTTGAAGTATTTTGGTGGTTATTATAGTAGCAATATTCTATGTAACTTGTCGTATGTAAATAGAGTAGTTGGTATGCGTTGATTACGATCCTTTTACAATTATTAGATACGAATGCATACAATAAAAAATGGCAAAATAGAATTTACAAATAGGTCAATTTGAAAATTTGGGTCTAACAAGGTGACATCATAATTGTTGTTGCGTATATTATGCATCACTTAGTAGTATTAGCATGTATTAGATAAGATATGTTCATCTTGTATGACATGAATGATATTTTCGGGACTCCTTGATTGAATAATACTGAGGAAACACATGCATACTCACATAAAAAGTATATTCCAGAATCGAGAAACTAAAGATTGGACATAAAGAGAATGACACTTACACGCCTGTGTTCAATCTGAATATCGAGAAGAAAGGGACATAATGTGTATACTCATAATGATCAAAAGTTTGCACTACAAAAACGAGGAGTATCAGCAACGGAAAATTCTATCATTGATCCGTCAATAAAGGCATATTCTATCGCTGATCCGTCGCTAATCATCCGTCAGTCAAAAGCTCGTATGTAATGCTATCAGTGATAAATTTTAGCGACAAATCGTATTTGTGACTGATTAATTAGTGACAAAGAACTTTCAGCAACAAATTTGTGACGGAAAACTTTCAGCGACGGATTTGCAACGGAAAGGTTTCAGCGGCAGATATTTTTAGCGACTGGTTAGCGAGAGACTTCTTTCAGCGACGGATTTGCGACAGAAACTTTGACGGATTAACGACATATACTTTTAGCGAACAGATTAGCAAATAATACTTTTACTGACTGATTAGCTGAATGGCCAAATTTTATCATTTGAGTAACGATAATTTATTGTTAGACGTCGATCTTCATTTATAAATGTAATTAGGATTTATAATTATTGTCAAAGTTATAAAGTCCAGTTGTCACACGCACATAAAATATATTTGAATAAGGAGATCAAATAGTCAAAGTGTTAAATTGTTATATCTAACTTGGTATTAGATTAATCTTATTAAATTAATATAATCAGATATTGGATAACTTGTTTGACAAGTATAAAAAAGTAAGGAATTGTCATTTAAATCAGTATAAAAGGACGAAGCGTGCGCTTAGAAGGTATTGTCTCCCAAAAGTGTTACTCTTCTAGAAAGCTAGAATTCATGGTTGATTCAATTTCACTCGTTTATGGCTAATCCCACTCGCTCCCCTAGCTTTCTTCTCTCATTGTAAGTGTCGATCCGGGATAGCAGACCAAAAGCTATGAACTTGGGTGTGGGTCTTTTGCCGAAATCAAAGTTCTTGATCAATGGAGAAACAACATCACCATTTTGCTACATTCCACAAGATCTTCTCTCTCTTTCAAAGAGTTTGAAACCGTATCTAGCACTTGGGAATAAACTGGTTCTTCTCTCTTAGGACGTCAGCTGGATTAAGATGTGGATACCATGGAGGCAACGAGATGCGTTTGTCGTCTTAGATTCAGAAACGACATCAAAGGATTCTTGTATAACATACCAATTTTATTCTAATGTGCTTTGTCCATTACATTCAAACAAAATGAATCCCAAGGCTACAACTCCTTATCATACAAAATGATTTCCTTTGTCAATCAACAAAGCCGAATGTGTCAAACATAAATTAAGAATCAAACCTAGCCGCTATTGGAACCAAGAAATTTGTTCTCCCTGTCGGTTCAAGATCGGAACCAATCTGGTTTTATTCTATTTTTTACACTTGAAAGTTGAAACGATTGTTGTTATTTAGGAACAACCAGATATAGATTATTTGGTTTATGGTTTAGTTTGGTAGCAAACCGTTCAGATATGTTTTGGTTTGGGTTCCATTATTTTATATTTTCCGATTTAAATGCATTCCCGTTAGGGTTCCATTATTTTTTCATTTTCGATTTCATTTTGATTTGTGTTCCATTCCATCCGGATGAACAACCCTATAAAAACGATGCAGAACATCACAAGTTCAAATAAGGCAACTTATTATTCAAATTAAGGACAATGAACACCCTGTTGATGATATTTGTAAGTTACTACAATGTCTCCAATCGCTATGCAAAAGGCCTTTGATTGTTGCAATCAAGATCATCCCCAGGACTAACTCCCAACATGCTGCAATACCTTGTGTAGAAACCAGTCGCTATATAATACGTTGTTTCTTATTTACCAATTATATAAATAAAGAACAAGTGAGACTTTATAATTGGTACATTAAAAGCATAAAAGGGCAAAAAGACCTAGCCCATTTAAAATCAAGAAACAATATCTAAATGATGAAAGGACATAAATACCCTTGAGGGTTTTAACGGTTTCTTAGTAACGGACTTATTATTTAGAACGAAAAGAGAAATAAAATACAAACCAAAGTTATGATAAATGTAATTTCAAATTCACAAGGAAGAAAATGGCAACTTTTGGCAAACCATAGCCATGAAAATAATATTTTACTCTAAAAAGTATCCTTTTTTTTGGATTCTGTTTTGGCTATCGACCCTTTGAATCTTTCAATTAACAAATCACGTTCAACCATTGCTTGTAAAGTCGATTTTCTTCAAATATAAATTTATATTTCTATTTTTTCTATTTACAGTTTAATAAAAAAGTATTCACATAATATTGTATCGAAATACATCTCGATTTTAATGGTTTTTTTTTTTTTGTCTTAATGGATAATATAATACGGTTTTATGTGATTTCGAGAAAGCAATGATGTCTTTATTTTTGAATCAAATATTGAAGATATCTAAAAAATTTGAAAAAAAATATTGATATTAATACCAAACTAACTATTCAAAAATTTCTTCTTTTTTGTGTATTTTTTTAATTTTTTTTTTTTATTTTTGGTTTAATAATATTTTTTTTATAAAACTAATAATTAAGTATTTTGTTAGAACTGAATAAGTATCCTAATTAGATTTTTTATATTTAAAATGAGATGTGTATCATATATTTGATTATGTTTATTTGCATTTAGTTACCCGAATTCAAACATGAAACTTTAATAAGTTATACTTATGCATAATTTACTTGTAATCTTGAATTTAAATAATATGTATCAATAAACGATACTTCATACATAAAAAAAAATAGTTTTTAAATTTTTTTATCAAATTTAGATTAGAGTATAAATAATACAAGATTTAGATCCTCGTACATGGCACGAAGAATAGTAAAGAAAGCCTTGTGAATAGTCTTCAAGAAGAAGTCAGTCAACAGAATATGGAGGACAAATTATATAGTATTTATATAATATAGACCACCACACAAAAGAGAAAAAAGGACACACGATATCACCATAAATACACCAACTCCATGGATAAGTTTCTGGTGCTAACCATTCTAGTCTTTCTCTTCCTAGCAACAGTAGTATCTGCTCAAGATTGTGGGAGACAAGGTGGTAACAGACCATGCACCAACGGGAACTGTTGTAGCCAATATGGTTTCTGTGGAAACACTCCCGCTCACTGCTCACCGGAAAATAACTGTCAAAGTCAGTGTACAGGAGGTGGTGGTGGTGGTGGTGGTGGTGGTGGCGGCGGCAGCGGCAGCGGAGATGTTGCCTCCATCATTACTGCATCCGTGTTTGACCAAATGCTCAAGTACCGAAACGACCCAAGATGCAGTGCTAATGGATTTTACACCTACAATGCATTTATAACTGCTGCAGCAGCATATAATGGATTTGGCACCACCGGAAGTGCTGATGTCCGGAGAAGAGAGCTTGCAGCTTTCTTAGCTCAAACCTCTCATGAAACAACAGGTTTGTTATCCTCTTGATAGTGAAGGCCAAAGAAACACATGTTATGAACATGGAGTTTTGAATCGCCAACAAGGCTGATATGTATTAGTTCATTCTTTGTTTAAATTACGATAAAAAAGCATTTGTATTGCATGGTTATATAGGTGGATGGGCAGCTGCACCAGATGGTCCATATGCATGGGGATATTGCTTTGTTAGAGAAAGAAACCAAGACAACAACTACTGTTCTTCCAATGCCTGGCCCTGTACTCAGAAATACTTTGGAAGAGGGCCTATGCAGCTCTCTCAGTAAGTTCTCACTTTCTTAGCCGGACTTAGAAAAAACATCTTAATTTGGGACCCATCACCAATGTAATTAACATCCTTGACTTTCTTTCTGGCAGCAACTTCAATTATGGGCTGTTTGGACAGTCAATTGGGAGGGACTTGATCAACAACCCTGATCTCTTAGCCACAGACCCAACCTTATCGTTTCGTTCAGCCATATGGTTCTGGATGACTCCACAAGATAACAAGCCATCAAGCCATGACGTGATCACTGGACGGTGGACACCATCGGCTGCAGACAGTTCTGCAGGCCGAGTCCCAGGTTTTGGAGTGATTACGAATATCATCAACGGGGGTTTGGAATGTGGCAAAGGGCAGGACAGCAGGGTGGAGGATAGGATTGGGTTTTACAGAAGGTATTGCAGCATGTTGGGAGTTAGTCCTGGTGATAATATTGATTGTAACAATCAAAGGCCTTTTGCATAGCGATGGAGTCTGGGTGGTGGCTGTAACTTACAATAAAGAGCCAAGTCATAAACTTGCTTGTGTAATGGGTGTTTGAATTGTCTTCACTTTGAATAAAATGCATTTTTAATTGAACTTTGAAGCCTTTCTCGTAAAAACCTTGCCTACTGAGCCCGCAACCTGATCTACTGAAGGACACAAGTCTTCTAATCTAAGGTATTTATTTATTTTGTTTTGATTATGATTTCTCTGTACACTAATAACAAACCGTTAACTCAGTTAAACTAAGGGGCTGTTTGGCAGTTGCTGAATGGTTTAGTGCAGAATAGTTAAGAGGTCAAAATGATTAAGAGAGTCAGAATGATTAAGTACTGAATGAAATAATGTTGTTTGGTAATTGTTCTCTGAATAATAGTAAATTACTATTTTAACCCTTATCCAACAAAAACCCATCTTAATGTGAGAATTGGGAGAGAGGACAAAAATTAGAAAAACCACACTCTGAATGGTTTAGAGACTTCCTATATGCAAAATGGTTAAGAACCTTTTAGTAACCATTAAGAGGTTTCTTTTTTTTTGCCAAACAGTCTAAACCTCTGAACGATTGAGAGGCTTCCTCTTAATGTCACCATTAAGAGGGAAACAAACAGCCCCTAAGGGTCATTTTAGTTCTTTTACCCTTGTTTTTGTCTTTTTCACATTAAAAAAAGTAAAGCTAATTAACACACACATATATACATACATACACACATATGTATATAGAGGGGGTTAGATTGCAAACCATCCAATTTGTACAAACCGTGCAAACCACTCTTATCCATCGATTTCATTATTTAATCTTACGAAATTTTTTCATTAAATTGTTTAATCTTGTGAAATTATTTCATATAATACTTTTTTTTTGACGAAGTTGTTTTATATATGTTTATGAAATTGTTTTATATAATACTTAATGAAATTTTAATGGAACTATTTCATGTATTTATCTAAAATTTAAATAATGAAGATGATAACATCCATGATTAACACCCTTCACGATAAATATGATTAATCAACCTGTTATAATTACAAAAAAATAAACAAAATGAAAAATTATGATTAGTTAAATGAGGTTTGCACGTTTGTATAAATTGGATGGTTTGCATTTGATCGTTGCTCTATATATATATATATATATATATATATATATATATATATATATATATATATATAGCTATGAGGGAATCAAATTAGATATAATAAGATATCGTTTTTTGATATGATTTGTTTCACTAAAAAATTAATTACGTTAAAACAATTTTTTTTAATTAAGATAAATCTGTGAGTTTCTAAAACTTGATCAAAACCTTCCGACTTTTATTTTTTACTATTTACAAAAGAGTAAAATACAAATATTGTAAAAATTGAATATCTTTATATGTGTATTATTGACTTAGGGGCCTAATCAAATGAAAACTGATTAGTTTGTGGTAACTATGAGGTCCAATATCAACCACAAATCAATAGATAAATTAGAAAATTAATAATTATGGTAGTTTAAGTTAAAATTATAATTAGAGGGCATATTAGGTATTTTAAAAAAAATTCTTCTCTTCTCTCTCATCTCTCCGACCTCCAATCTCCGGCCTCCGGCGGTATCACAGTATATTACAATGGGTATCACATTGTGTATCTTTTTTTTAAGGTTTGAGTTGGTATCATAGTTGGTATCACAATGGTATCACAGTATATCACAATGAGTATCACATTGTGTATCTTTATGATTAGTTGGTACTTGTTGGATTAATGTTCACCGGAGGCCGGAGATGGAGGTCGGAGAGATGAGAGAGGAGAGAGAAGAGATAGGAGTTTTTTAAAAATACCTAAAAAGCCCTCTAATTATAATTTTAACTCAAACTACCATAATTATTAATTTTCTAATTTATCCGTTGATTTGTGGTTGAGATTGGATCTCACAGTTACTACAAACTAATCAGTTCTCCCTTGAATGAACCCCTATTGACTTATACATGATGATTTAACACTTGTGTAATTGAATTAGAAGTTATTAAGAGGTCAAATGATTGGTTTTTACATTTTCTGACGGATGCCGGTGGCCACTAGTAATATGCCGAAAAATATAAAAATCTTTTCTTTTAAAAATAAAATAAAAGACAATTAACTTTAATTACATTAAATTACCGGTGGATTACCGGTGAATTTTAATTTATAGAAAACTAATTAAAATCCGACGGTAATCCATTGGTAATTTGATGTAATTAAAGTCAATTTTTTTACTAAATTTTAAATTTTTTTTATTTTGCCAGAAATATGGCCAGAATAATTTTTATAACAATATTCAGTGGTGGATCACTGATGGAATCAACGTAATTGAATGTTTTTAATGGCCGTCGAAAATTGGTCGGTAATCCACCGGTAACTTTACGAAGGAACTCCACCAGAAATTAAAAGTCATGCTTCTAGTAGTGTTATTGTGAAAAACATAAGAAGAGATCTCCATCCTTAAATCAATCCAAATTGAATGCCAACACTAATGAGGTGCACTGATATGCACCAGATCAATTCCTTTCTATTGCGCAATTCATGAGTGAGGATGAGATTAAAAGTGATCAATGGTTCAGATCTCTTACTATGATTCTCACCATAACTTTTCTTCTCACACGATCATTCGCCTATATATATGTATGTATATTATTGATTTTACCTTTTCTAATAGAAAAATGACAAAAAGGGGGATAAAAGGACTAAAATGACCCTTAATTTAACCGAGTTAACAGATTTAGAGACAATTTAATTATATTATTCAGAGGGACCATGGTCGTGACAAAATGAAATAGGGACCAAATCCATAATAAACATTGTATAGGGATCCTAGTAATGAAAACATCAAAATGAAGAAATCAAATCCATAATACACTCATACTATAAACATTAATTGAATATAGAGTAAGTTACATGCTTCATCCCTGTAGTCAGGGGCGGATCTAGCCCTTAAGTACTGGAGGGAAAGACCCAAGTCAAAGATCAAAAACATTTGTTGACTAGCTTAAATTTTCTATTTTTACCTTCGTCTTACATAGTTTCCCCCCAGTCTCATATGGCCATATGCTTGCCTCCTCCAAGTCCCATCCAACGTGCCCCCACCCCATTAATTTCCTGGATACGATACTGCTTGTAGTATATATGTTATACGTCTCAAATCTTTTTTTAAAAATAAATATGAGTGGTATGTATTCTATAATACATTGGTTCCCCTTGGTTTAACTCCGTTAAAGAAATTCTGTTAAATAGGTAAACCCAGGAGGGCGGTTTCATCTTTTTATTCATTTTCCTCCTTTTATATTAGAAAATGAAATATAAATATAATATTTTATTATGTTATATATATATATATATATAGAAAGAGAGAGAGAGAGAGAGAGAGAGAGAGAGAGAAGGAGGTTTAGGAGAAAACCTCAAAAAATAAAAAACCCGAAAAACACTTCATCAACCGTTAGATTAATTGATGAAGTGTACATGATTAAAGATGTGGTTACAACATTATTTTTAATTTAAAAAATCTTGCACCCCTTAATTTTTAAATGAAAAAGATACAAAACATGATCAAAATATGAACGAAACAAATTACATTAGAAACACAATCATATTTTTCTAGTTAATTTGACATTCATATGCATATAGTTTTTATTTGTTTTTTTTTAAATGGTTTTCCAGTTTTCCATTTATTTAGAGTTATACTCTGAACCTGACCTTATATATATAAACATACAAGCACATTACAAATACTAAGGTAACACCGAGGAAACCATGAACCACCGTCTCCTCCTCTCACTCATCGATGAAACTCCCTTCCCTTGGGTCTCGAATTCAAGCGACAAAGAGGAGGGGAAAACCATCGCTTCCCCACGATCGTTGCCTCCTCTCTACCCTATTTATAGCGTAAAATCATATAGGTCTACATAAGTGGCCATTTGTATTGCCAAAATGGCCAAAATGGCGGTGCAAGTGCATACCTGACGTTATGATGTCTACAAGTAATATCGAGATTGTATCCACAGGAATCGGACTTTAGAGTTTCAAGTACCAAGTAGAGAATAGAATGATTTCAATCATAGAAGAAGAAAATATATTTGAGCGAGCTTGATGCTAATTTTAACAATTAAGTAAAAACAATTTTAAAGAAAAGGGTATGTGTGTAAGTTTTTCCTACGACATTTGTAGTAATGAAATGGTCAAAAACATTTCCCACAGAAAACATCTATAGAAGTTCCTATCTCTCGAAAGTGAACTTTCACAGAGAGTGGACACATGTCCCCACAAAGTGACCACTTTTGCCAACAAACGACTTGCCGATATAACTGAGTTGACTTCCAAGAGTCGTAGTTCTATCGGTATGGGGGATCAATGCTCAAATCTCTTCGTAACACTTATCCCGACCAACATTTGAACTTTAATCAAAATCACGCAAAAACCCATATCCCTATATGTCATAAAAGACTTCCTCAAATCTTATTACATCACTTAAGCAATATTTCTAAAATCGCTCATCTCTGGGTCTAAGATCTAATGTTAACATTTATAAGTGATCGACTTGTCCGTGTGAGTTAAAGTCCCCACTCAAGTGACCAAGTTTAAGAGTTAGTTAGTAAAAATGGCAACACCCAAGTGTTGCCTACTAGTATCAATTAGTTTTGGCTCTCACCCACACCCAAAGGATGCTTAGCTGATACTTATAATAAAGGACGTACTAGTAGAAGAAGAATACTTAAAAGATTATTTGCATTGAGAAATAAAAGACAAATTGTGGCCACCTACGTCACCACAATGGTGAGGCAGTGCTAGATGGAAATTTTATACATGAAAATAAATTACAACAACAACTAAAATGCAAAGGTAAGTAGTAGAGATTTCTACATTGTTGGTGCTCTGCTTTAAATAAAATCCAAAGGCCTCTATTTATAATGGAAGATGAAACAAGTAATGAGGTATTTACACGTAAGGGTTTTTTTCAAAGAGCTCAAGCATCCATTGACCCAAAGGTTGGTTTCATTCTTCCTCCACTCTTTTATGAAAGCTCAAATTTTCTTTCTCTCATTTAAGATTTAAGGTAGA